GACAGGAAGTGGCAGGCCCAGCCTGGCCGCCACTGAGATCCACCTGGGCCTGCAGCCTCAGCACGCCAGCCCAGCCCCCTTCCTGAGCTGCACATGGGGCCAACACTGCCCTGTGCTCAGCCTCTCTGCCCGAGGTGGTTGGCCAGTTGGGGGGGCCCTCCTGTGCCTATGTGCACGGGGGCTATGAAAAGGTTTGGGGGCCCAGAGAGCCCATGAGCTGTGGGTTCCTCCCTCGATGCTAGTCCCGCTTGCTATTTCCCCCACCGACCCCCAAGGCTCTTTGAGGTGGGAAGCCAGGAGGAGCCCCAGTGCTCTTGGCCTTGGGCCAAGGCGAGTCCATTGTGCCTGTGCTGAATTTCACACTGCTCCTCCAGAGAGGCTCCTGCCTGGCTCTGGGCTGGAAGAGCCGTCCAGTCCAGCCCCAGCCAGTTGTTGTCCCGCCAAGGTAAATGTTATCACCCGTGTTTTGAAGCTTCGTTGCTTTTAAAGAATTGTTTCCATGAGAAACCAGCTTTGCAAACACTCCTCACCCAGGAGGCCAGAGGTGAAAGGAATAATAGGCACATTCCTGCAACATGACACACGCACGCACACACCGGCTTAACTCTTTGCCTGCTGCGGCCGGCCGCCTTGTTTATTGCTCTGTGGGGCTGGTGCCTGCCCCAACTCGTCTTCCCTGGCTCCTCTCTCTCCTGGCTGGCTGGGCAGCCCCCCCTCCAGCAGCCACTCTCTGTGATGGCCCCCCAGTTGGCCCCCCCAATGCGCAGACAGCCATCGATCACGTAGATGGGGGAAACTGCTCTGGAATGAGCTTCCCGTTTATTATTTCAGGCTACGGAAATTTTCTTTTAATTTGTTTTCTCTTGTGTTTAACTGTTTTAAAGCCGTTTAATAGGCTAATAGGAACAACCGTTGCTCTGCCCTGAAGAGGTTTCCTTCCTTCCCTGCCCCTGGCATCCTGGCACTGCTCCCTCCTCCCTGCCCAGGAGAGGCTCCTTGTCAGACGACCCCAAGGCCAATCCTGGGACCAAGGGGAGGAAAGAGGGTGGGGGCTCTCACTGGGGGCTGCCTCCCCCTGCCTCCCTCCAGGCAAAATACTTTGCATCAGACTCAAATCCAGGGGGACGGTAGCCTCTCTAGGCCCCCCTCAGCAGACCAACCACCTGGTCTCCTGGCCCAGAGGGGACCCACTAGCTCTGCAGACCCAGCTTCCCTGTCACGTCAAGTCTGGCTTTGTGCCCCAGGCTGGAAGAGGGGCAGCAGAGAGACCCCTCCCCTTAAGACCCAGAGGCAGCTGGGGCAGCCTCATCCTGAGAAGGGCCAGGAGCCTCATCCGGGGTGGCCGCCTGGCGAAGGGAGCTGGACTAGGGCTCCCAGCAGCTCCTCCGGGCTGATCCCAGGGCAGGGTTCCTGGCAAAGGGTTTGTTCCTGGGCTGTGCTAAACCATCCAGCCCAGCATCAGACTTGGCCCCAGGCTAAGTATTGATGTGACCCCTGAGAATCAGGTCACCCTGCCTGCCTGGCCTGCACCCCCCCCCCCAGGCCTTGAATTTCCTTTAGTGCCAAGAAATGTCACCTCCTCCTTTGCTCCATGTGACAAAATCTATTCAGCCACCCATGGCAATGTCACCCATTCCCCAGAGCAGAGAAAGAGACTGGGCAGCAAGCAGGTTCACCAGCTCCTTTCCTAGCAGGTGGAGGGCAGCAAGTGGAGGCCAGCTGCCACCATGGAGAGCTGGTGCCAGCCTTGCCGAAAGCATCAGGCCCCGGAGGCTGCTCAGGGATGGGCTGCACAGCAGAGCCGCCTTCCTCCAGGATAGGAGCAAGCAGCGATCCCCGAGTGGCACGCCTGGCGCTCTGCATTTGCTCCTTTCTTGTTCTCTGTGGGAATTTCCACCCGTTACCAGGCTCAGCCCCTCGCCCCACGTGCAGCCCCTTCCCCTTCCACCCTGGCTGACTCTGTCAATGATTGCTGGGATGGAAGGTGCACCTCATTTCAGCAATAAAAGCAAAGCAATGTGTCAATCTCTTATCTTGCCAGTAAAGGTACGGCCTTGATCCTGTCAGCAACTCCCTTCTTGGACTGCCAGAAAGAGCCACACACGTGAAGCAATGATCTTCAGCTTGAGCAGTTTGCAGGCCTTTGGTTCCGTGGAAGCTGCCCGGCTGTCCCCAGCTGAGGGTCAGTTGTGATGGAGATACAATGGGCCTCCTGAGACGGAGATTGGGCCCGGAGGAAGAAGACTCGGAGACGAGGGGCACGGCAGTAATGGGGGTTGCCAAGAGAGCCGGCAACCAGGACTGTGAAGAAAAGCAGCATCTTGCAACCCAAGAACTGGTTCTTTAAAGTGGGGAGGACATGGAAAAAACACTGACTGTCCAAGTTAGGATGCACAAGGTCGATGCTGCAAATATTCATGATAATAAATTTGCCATAAAAAGTTGTAGGAAAATTATAAGGATAAAGTTTAAACTCAGATTCCACCACTTACTGGAAGTAAGTTCAGATCACTTTATTTAGACCCCAGTGAAAGCAAATCCTCCCCGAGTCCCGCATTCCCACCCAGCTCTCTGCTCCGACTCCTGTCCTTTTTCTGGTCCAAGAGGGCGTGAAGGCTGCAGAGGCCTGCCGTTATCCACACAGCCTGGGAGGCGAGTGCAAATGCCAAACGGTGCGAACTTAGCATGCAAGGAAAGGCAAAACTGAATCAGGAATCTTTGGCAGCTGCCATAGGTCTCTGCGCTTCAGGTGCCCCCCAACTGCAGCTGTTGTTGATGGAGGGCCTGAGCTGCTGTTCTTCCAAGTATGGGCAGAAAAACATTCTTCCTCCTCAGAAGTGCTCCAGGGGATGCGAAGTTGCATTGAAGTGGGTAGGAGCAGCAGTTGGCCACCTTCGGCAGATGTTAAGGGTCCCGGGGACCTCACCTATATGGACACCTACTTTGCAGCCTCATCTTTTGCACCCAGAGCACAGGGCTGCCCCTATGTTCAGCCGGAGGGCCTAGTATGGAAACCCCCCTTGCTTGGAGAGGCTTTGGGCTTTTTCTACTCTCTGACCCAGGGAAAAGACAGAGAATCGGTTTGGGTGGAGCCCCAGCCCCTCGTCTGGGAAAGGCCGAGAGACGTCGCTGCCATTAAGAGCAGGGTGGCAAAGCTCCAGATGGTTGAGGGAGGCGACGGGCTGGACGGTCACCTGTGGGGATGCTGGAATCCCGGGTTGTTCCAAGCTGGTGTTGCCTGCAAGGCCTTTTCCAAGGCTGGATTCCACCTTCCTCAGCAACATGGACCCTGATGGGTTCCGCAGGGTGAGCAGAAGAGCCTGCAAAGACCCTCAGCTGCTTGTCTGCTCAGAGGTCTCTACTTCCTGCCTCTCTTTCTGATCTTGGTCCCTTGTGCAGGATCGGATCGTTCCTCCTCTACAATCGTGTTTCAAGCAACTGCTGAGAGGACTGCACTGAAAATCTCCAAGGGGAAAGGCTGGTTTTGTCCAGAGGCCCCCCAAATGTATCCAGATTCATCCCTTTCCCCTTTTCAGACGGGAAAGCTCGGTCTGTTGACTTCATCCAGTTTGACAAAGAAATAAAGAAGGTCTGTAAACAGTCTCCTTCCAGATTGTTTACAGCCCCATTCCCCAATCTTGCATTTATCGGTCTGAAATTCTCTACCATCCTTCCCCCACAAATGGCTACTCCTCAGGATTTCAAACAATTCCCTATATACCTATATGTGTAAACGTATACGTATTCTTTTCCCCCCAATTATAGATGTAGAGAGCTGAATTTCCAAACTGAAAATCAGAAAAGGAATTTAAAGTAAATCACGAGGTCTATGAATCAATCCCAGATTTTACTAAAAAAAACTCTCTTGTGGTCCCACTGCACTTTCAGGCCTGTTAATCATATAAAATGTCTGTTTTCAATTCCTCTCTTCTTTGGCCTTGCACATACAATGAGTTTTATCCTTCTGCAAAATAGCAACTAGATAAGAGCTAAACTCTTGTAACAACACTGAAATCCACAATTGTTCTCATTTTGAAACGTGGACTTTTTCTGGACTTGGCCAGTTAATTTTGGAATCAGGCATTTTTTCCATGGCTGCGGAGTGGCCGTCAGAGGACAGGGACCGCTGCCTTTTTCCATCCTGATTTCACTGCCTGGTAAAATCAGCCCCTGACCCGGTGAGGTCCTGGGCCCTTAGCCTTGCCCGTTGGACGGGGGGGAAGCAAGGGAAGGAGCTCAGATCTGTGGCAAGGCAAAGCAAGGCTAGCCAAGAGAGCCCAGCCTCACCCAAAAACCAGGATATCGGGCCCGCCTGGCTGCCCAACTGCCTGCAGATAGACCCCTGAAAGGGGCAGGACGCGTCTTCGTAGGCACAGTTCTTTGGGGCATCCGAGACTCACCACCGGGGCTCTCTAGCACTAGGCCTTTGGGCTGAGGACAGAGATCAGAGGGGAGCCATTTGAAAGGCCCAGTGGCCTTTTACCCCAACCCACAGCTGGCACGGAGCAGTTGGGCTGGAAGACAATGGCAAGATGGCCCAGATAAGCCCAGGGCGGGGACGGCTCGCAAAGGATCTTGCGCACTGCAACTTAGCCGTTCCCCCTAGAAGCTCCTGGCAGGCACCCCTCGCCCTCTTCCCTCCGTGCAACACGGCTGAGGGCCACAACCCCAGCCGGCCGCCTGGCTCACTCGCTCTCCACTAGGCATTGTGTCTTGTGTTGCCTGAAGGAAGAAGCCGTTGGCTCTGCCATTGGCTAGAGTGGCGCTCGCTTCCTCCCCAATTGGCTGGGGAGGCCTGCCACAGCCTTTGCCAGGTGGGAGTACCTCCCACTGCAGGACAGGTGAAGATTTTCTGAGGCAGATTGGGATTCTTAAGGCTACAGAGCACCTGGATTCCTCAAGATCAGGAACAGCAGGCATGCCTCAGAACGCCTGATTGTTGCCCTTCCAAAAACTTGTTTTTCCTCTCTGATTTGGGTTTCGCAACTCAGCAAGGTGGGAGAGGGGCACGCAAACAGGATGAGCGGTGGTGGGCTTGTCATAAGCTCCCCAATCTCCGAGGAAAGTGCAGCCTTTACGCCCTTGAAGCCCGTTGCGATGGCAAGGGAATCCAGTGATGACATGGCCGTCTTTGAAGATATCAAACCACCCGTACGAATCTCGGAGAATCCACAGGATTTGGCCCAGGTAAGAGAAGTGTGGAACTTCTGGGCATCACGTGTATTCTGTTGTACTTGGGATGGGCAGAAAAGCATTCTTTTGTAAAGTTAATGCTGCTGCTTTAATCAGAAAGGTTGATGAGATCAACTATCAGAAAGATTCAGAACTGACCGTATTCTTCTTTTCCATGTAATTATGGATTTGGGGTGGCTATAAGGCAGAAAAGTTGCTGGAGATTTTAGGCTGTTGGAAACGTCTGTGGTTCACCAAACTTTATACAGGATCTGGAGCCAGCCTGAACTGTAAATCAGTTTTTGTGTACAAGCAGGCAATAGATCAGCTTGGACTGAAACAAGCCACTAAGAAAATGAAAGTTTTTGAGAAAGAGGGGCCTGAATTTGGCTTTGTTCTGTTGCGACAGGGATAAGGTTTCCAGGGTGCTGCTTTTTATGGTGGGAATGTTCCCCAGCAAGGGAGGCTCCTTGGGGTGTTTTGGGGTGTTTTCCTTTGTGGGAAGGGTGGGGGCCTTGAGAGAGAGAGGGGGGGCGTTCTCTGGCCAGGTGCCTGCAGGGCATTTCTGAGCCAAAACGCTGCTCCAAGGAAGAGCCCCCACTGAGCTTACGTGCCGTTCTTGCTGTCTGGGCTGCTGCCTTTGGAAAACACAGGAGTGGAATTCTCCTTGAGATTTCCCAGCTGTGAGCCCCCCCCTCCTCCCCCTCCTCCCCCGAGATGGCTGGCTGGATCAAGAGGTGGAGGCAGAGAGCCCCCCTGGCCCACCTCTGCGGATTCTCCCATGTGGCCAAAGATGCTGGCCGTCTTTGCTGCTTCCTTCCAATGTGTGAAAGGAACACACAGGCCGTCAGGCATGCTTTGTAGGGCCAGGCCAAAGGCAGGCTGGAGGCTGTGCTGTTACTGTGCACGTGGGGAAGACTCTCTCCCCACTGCTGAGCTGGTGCTTGGTGTTTGTGGATGGGGGGTGCAAGGAAACTCTCCTCCAGCCCTCTCTGCAAGCAACGGGAGGCCAGGTCAAAGCCAGAGGCCCTCATGGGAGGGAGGTGGCTCTCCTCAGGCTTTGTGCACCCGGGCATGGAGGCCCCGAGGGCTGGCCGTCTGCCCCATCTTGGTCTAGGCAGAGTCAGCAGCAGCTCACACTATGGAGGGCAAGCAGGAACTTCAGTGGAAATCAGCTGACCTCAGGGAGGGCTTCTGAGGTTCGGGTCAGGGCCTATGTGACCTGCAGGTGACTTGATCCAGGCAGCAGATTCGGCTTCTCAGCCGCTCATCCTAAATTCTTGAGCTGGATGCAGAAAAGGAGAGGCAGCTGGTTTGCCGTCCTCCCCGAGGAGGCCTCTTCAGTGGGGGCCACTGGGAGACAGAATCAGACGACCTCCTCAAGGGACCTTCTCGGAAAAACGGCCCCAGAGAAGAACAGAAACAGGCCCACTTCTCCAATGATGCCGAAATTTGTCTTCTGTTTGCATAACATTAAAAGAAATGTTGATTTCAAGAGAAACTGGCTCTCCAGTTTCGAGTTTGCAGAGCAATGTCTGTCTCAGAGGTATGCAACCCCGACCCTGAGAGAATTATTTATTTTATGCCAATCCTCCCTCCATTTTCTCTTGCTCAGTCGGTCCAACAAACGAGGTAATGATTAACCTCAAGTGCAAGGCTTCCTGGCGCCATCTTGTTGGCAGGGAAGACGGCGGGTCTTCGAGAGAGAATGCTGAGGAGGTGCAGCAGAGAGGGGCCCTGGCAAGTGGGGGGCCCTCTTGGCATTTGGAGGGAAGGCAGCTCTGAGAATGTGAGACTCTTGAATGTGACACCTTTTTGTCACACCAGACTGTGCCCCCCTCTAACAAATCGGAATCCTTCTTATTCATGGAGGGGAACACCAGTTTCTGTCTCACCAGTGCTAGAATATCCCAGACTGCAAACCTGAGTCGCCATTTGAAACACACTTTTCATAATGTCAGTTAGTAGGGCCCGATTGGGGCCATATTCTTTATTCCTGAAATGGGAGTGGGGGGGCAGTACAGGGACCACCCCAGGCCCCGTTGGATGCTCTGCCGGCAGAATGGTGGCTTTGGCTTCCCCCGCCTTTAGGCTTCTTCCTGGGGTTTCCCGGAATGCACAATCTAGAGCATCTTTCAGAGTGGAGATCTGGCTAAATTCTTTTGATCTGTGAACCGAAGACTTTGTTTTACTTGCCAAACAAGGTGACCGTGAGGTTGGCGGCTGCATTTTCCCTTGCAAAGGACATCAAAGTCTGTCTTCTGGAAACTCACGAGAACAAACCTATTTCCAGCCTCAGCTCAACTTCCCATTTCCCTCTGAAATGTTGACCTTCCCTCCCTCTGTTCAGTTTATTCTGCTCTTTTCTAAAATAAACTATCTCATAGGAAACTCGCACTCAGGATCAGGCAACTAGAATAATAGCGAATCCACCAAGCTGGAGTTCTTTCAGTGCATCGCACAGCACTCACTCTGCGGTCAATCCAGGCCTGCAAAGAAACCTGCCCTGAGTTTCCTTTCGCCAAGGATTCCCAGGAGTGAGGGGGCTCTGATGGAGGGGCTGCTCTTTGGCTGCACATGGAGGAGGCCCAGCCCAGGCTTCCCACGTTCCAGGCACAGTGGGCAGGGAAGTTCACAAGAGACTTTGTGCAGAATCTGCTCTTGGTCTGTAACTGCAGCCTGGATTAATGAATGCATCGGGATAGAAGGAGTTGGTATCTGACATTTCCATAGGAAGAGTCTTTCTCAATTCCTGGCTTGTCCCTCTGGCCAGCAACCACGTGCTCCATTCCAGAAGAAGCACCACAGACAGGGTCCTGCATGGTCAGTCGAGGCAGCCATGTAGGATTTTCAGCGATGGGAAAACATTCAAGCGAACCAGGTGCCTAAATAAACACAGGTTCATACACAAACAAGCCATCTCGTGACTCATTGGCCCATTGAAACAGCTTTTTTGAAGGGATATTATCTTCAAAATAAATGTGGCCCATAGCAAAAGAACTCTATTTTCTTACCTAGACCTGTTAGATATACTGTACACCCTTGTCATTCTACACATAATATGGTATCCCCAAGGTTATTAAGGTTCTCAGGAGTTTGAGCTCTAAGACCATCTGGCATCTTTGTTGCAAGGCTGACTTGACCAGGTAGACACACAGTTAACCAACAAGTAGACTAAGAGGGCGGATGGAGGTCCAAAGGAGGTATTGTCAGAGACGGTGAATTTGCTCCTCAAGGTTCCAAATTTATGGTAACTGTGAAATCTCCCTTACTTGACCTTCTCTACGCAGGACAACTTTTATTTCTCTGACCAGAAATGACCTATCAAAAATGAGGATGTGAGATCAAAAGAATGAGGTGTTTTTCAGATTGTTGATTACAAGAAGAACAATAATCAGATAAGACAGGATAAGGGCTTATATTCTAGATTGCCAAAGATTATGAAAAGTTCTGAAATAAATTTCAGGTAATTTAATTTAATTTAATGCAATGATAAATCTGGTGCCATTTTGGTTGCTGACTGAAATGCCGTACAAGCTGAGGAGGCAACTCTGTTTCCTGTAGGAAGCAATTCAGCCGATGCCAGCCAGTCCTCCCCTCCCCCCCATTCGGGGCCTGCTTCCAGGGTCCTTTGCTGCGTCCTTCTGTCCTAGGGGTAGCAAGGAAGTTTTCAGGGGGCTTTTGGCTGTGAAGTGAGCTGGGGGACGTGCAGTTACCTGCAATGGTGAGGAACAGCAGGCTGAGCCTCCTCTAACCCACTTCAACTTCCCCATTGATCCCAACCGTGGGCTTAGCTTTGATTCGGGGAGGACTCACGGTGTCCATACCCCTCCCCCCCCAGCCTGGAGTGACACTGCCAGGCCCAGCTCCAGAGGAGTGGCACTTCCCCTGAGCAGCCTGCTGGCGTCATCAGACAGGCCTGGCACAACCTTTGTGACTTGAAAGCATCGGGATCGGTCCCCCTCCCCCCCCCGGTCTATTATGGAGGCTTATTTCCTGATAGGTCTGTGAAATGCGGGCAGAGCCAATGTTTCCCTCCTCAGAAACTGGAAGAGGGCTGTGTGCTGTGTGGTCCCTCTGCCGGGTGTGGTGAGATTTGGAGAGGTGCCCCTGGGCCAGGACAGGCACCCCTCTTTCCCCGAACTGCACCCCAGAGAGTTCTAGGAGAAAGACTGCCCAAAGCCAGACCCCTCCCCCCCCAGCCTGCATCTGAGGTCAATACCAAGACTGAATGATCAGAGAAGCAAATATTGACTCTGGTCAATTTTTTACTAGAGAGACAATAAAGATTGACATTGAGCCAAACAAAAAGTATAAGTGCTTTCAATTGAAATCCAGCCTCTTTTGAAGGAATGCAAAGAGAAGGATGGATTTTTTAAATCAGGCATTTCCTCTTAATGTGTTTACAATTTTTAGAGATTGAAAGGCCACTTTTGTAGAGAGGGGAGGGAGCCTCTGAGCCCACGGAGGTCCTGACAGGGGTGGGGGGGCCTCCCTTCCCACCCTTTCCTGCCTCCGGGAGCCGTACCTTGCCCCACCAGTATCTGCTGAACCTGGGCACAATCAGAGGATCAAAGGCCGAGATCTCCTATTCTGTGGGATAATCCCCAGGAATGTTTGGCCAGGGAGGGTGCTGGGTGCAAGGTGTTAAACCCCCTCACCCCCTTCAAGAAGCAGCAACACGGGGAGTCTCCCCAAGGGGCCCCACAGCACCATCTCCAGTCCCTCTATCCAGGTTCAGGGTTTCAAGTGGCCTTGCTTCAGCAGAGAGGAAGACCACCGACTGCCGTGTCTTCTGCTCCAGCGTATTGCTGAAAAATGGGTTCTGATGGCTTTGTACAGATATAAAGTTTGGCACAAAGGAACAGTTGTAAAATCTGTTTTTTATCAATGGATTTTAAAAAGTTAACTACTTTGTTTCTGTTTAATGGATTGTTTTCCTTTTTGTTTTTAGTTAGCTTTGTTTTGATTTTTTTTTAAGTGTAACAATTTTCCTAAAGGTATTATTGTTTTTATATATATATATATATATATATATACTGTAAACTTGTAGCCATTTGTAACTATTTAGGAAGGTTTGTAAGACAACTGATTTTTTTAAGATATTGCAAGTTAATAGAAAGCATATATTAAGAGGTATCAGCCCAGACAAAAGAATGAAAGCCACATGTGAGCTGATGGATGCTCGTAGAACACGGGATATCAGGATCCTGGCAGAAGGTCCTCGTTTCCAGGACTTGACAAAAACTTTTGAGAATTATGGGTAGCCCTTGACTTAACAACCATCCCTTTAGCAACTGTTTGAAGTTACAATGGCACTGAAAAATTGAGTTATGACTGGTCCTGGTATTTACAACCATCACAGCATCCCCACAGTCATGGGATAGCAATTTGGGCACTTGCAACCGTCCTGCATTTATGACAGTTGCATCATCCTGGGATAACGTTATATCGCCCTTTGTGACCCTCCCAGACCGCTTCCGCCAGGCAAAGCCAACGGGGGAAGTCAGGTTCACTTAACCATTGCAGGATTTGCTTAACAACTGTGGCAAAAACGATCAGGTGCAGCCCACTTAACAACCGCCTTGCTTAGCAAAATAAATTCTGTTCCAGTTGTGCACGTAGGTCAGGGGCTTCCTGTATCCCACTGGACCAGCTCAAACCTGAGCCAAACGTCCCACTTGCCCACCATCACCCACTGCCCTCGCTGGCCAGCCCTCAAATCCTCCTCAAGGCAAACAGGAGTCTAGTTTTGCCTTCACGTCCAGAGGGGAACCAAATCTCTCGCCGAGTGTCCCAGAGCAGCACAGAATGAGGAGCGCTTTGCTCTCCATCAGTGGGAAGAGCAGGAGAGTCAGTTCTGAAGCGGAGTCGTTATTTTGTTTGCGAGAGAGGAAACTAGATGCCCTTCTGAAAACTGGTGCCATTTTCTCCTGTTGACCAGCAGAATGTAAAAGGTGCCTTTCTGGTTGAACTAAGAAGATACTTCCAACAGTCCTCCCAATTAGCCCTTGGGGCTTGCAGATCCCTGGGCTCCTTTTTGGGCACCAGGAAATGTACTCTGCAGCCCTCATAATCAAGGGCCAATCTACCCAGGAAGGCACGGGCACAGGCCCCCTCCTCTGTGGAGAATGTGGGCAGCCCATGGCTGGACATGGCTGATGGGAAAGATGGGAAGACAGTGCAAAACCAGAGGGGGTGGCAGCCTTCCACCGGGTGCTCCCCAGCTCCCCTCGCTGTAGGGGTATCTGGAGGAGCCGGGTCCTTGAAGCTCGCAGTCATCTCGGAGCAAGGAGCCCTGCCTTCATCCAGATGTGCTTGGCATTTGGGCCTCTGGGTAGTTTCCTGGCACTGTCCCACGGGTATTTGCTTCTGAGTTTAAAAATAACTGCCTGGAAAGGAGCTGGCGATGGAGAGGCTGTTCCAATGAAAACAGCTCCCCCTCAGGGCTAGAGAAGAGGAACCTGGCAAATGCCCCTCTGGCAACAGAGGCAACTGAGCAGCCATTGCACCAACACACCTGTCTTTCACTCACCTAACAAAACTTTCTTTCCCGAGCTTGCGAGCAGTGAAGGTGAGGGAGGACAGTTGTACGCTAAGGAGGCAGCTGTCCGTTGGGATGCTGCCCTGGCTTCAAATTGGGGATTTGGGGCCTCCAAGACACTTCCTTGCAGCTGGATGGAGGTCTTCCTCTGATGCAGCTTTGGAGGGACATCACGGTCAGCTCTGTCCGCAGGTGGGGGGCTTTCTATGCAGGGGGAGCCTGTGAGTGGCTGGCTTGGCTTAGGGGCAGCAGCCATTCACACCAGGAACAACAGCAACGGCTGCCAATGTGGGATGGGGGTGGCCATCAGGCACCTGACCCGGGTGAGGGGTGCCAGCTGCACAGAGACCTCAGGCCTTTCTTTCCTCACTGTTCATTCCTCTTCTGGGCTTCCACTCAGGCACGGACCGAGATGGACAAGTACCTCTCTGGCCAAATGCCCCCCACACCGACAGCAGCAGACAAGAAGTATCGCCGGGAAAGCGCCTCCGTGGTGGACGAGTATTTCTCCACTGAAAAGCCTCTGTCTGCACCCTACAGTGTCAACATCAATGTGATCCTTCCGGACACCACGCACCTGCGCACAGGGATCTACCGGCCTGCTAAGCCCTCTGTGCCCTTTCCCCAAATCAAAATGGAGCCCGGCCCCTGCTTTGCCTTGCCCTGCCCTGCCAGCAGCGGCCCAACCCAGACTCTGCCAGACTTCACCAGCGTCTTCAGCGTGCCGCAGTCTGTGGCTACCAGCAGCATCTTTGTCAAGCAAGAACTGCCCTGCCCCGAAATCCCTCATTCGATCAGCCCCCAGCCGGGCCTGCTCTACCAGCTCCCCGCAGAGATGATCACCGTGGCCTCCTCCACCTGTGGCACCACGGCCACCAGCAGCATCCACGGGGTAGCCATGTCTACTGGCAGCTCCATGCTGGACTCCAGAGCCCTTGCCCGGCCCCTGCGGCCAGCAGGGCAGCTCAAATCATTCCCAGCGACCTCCCAAGGCCTCAGCGGCTTCAGTGTGCCAGAGGAGTTCTACCCCGTCCCAGCAGTGAGCCTGCCCCCTTCGCCCCCCAACTCACAGCCCGGCAGCCCCGAGAACCAGCCCGAGCCCATCAACACCATTTCACCTCCACCCCCCTACGAGGCCACATTTGGACTGAAGCTGCCCCCCCCAGGCCACATCACCTCTGGGCCCAGCACCATCAAGACCATCACACAGGGACACCTCATCCTGCCGAGCCCCAAGTACAACCGGAGGAACAACCCAGAACTGGAGAAGAGAAGGATCCACCACTGTGACTATCCTGGTAGGAGTTTGACAACCTTTCAGTTTGGCTAATCTCCCCCCCCCCCCCCCCCATGCACAATTGGCACCAATGTAGCTGAAATTGGAGCAGTATTTTGGCTGTCTCAGGGCAAAGGCCATACATGTTGTTTCTCTTAACCTTGAATTCAGTTCTTGTAGGGATGAGATTTTAGGGAGCTGGGGGTCCCTTAGTTTTAATGCAGGGGCTCCCCACTAAAGTCACAAAAACTCTGAAAAATGTGCAGAGCAGGAGAGGTTTCATGAAAAGGAGGGAGGGGCCTTCAGGTAAACCTCCTACTGCCAGCACCCCAATTACACCTTTAGCAATGAGGAAGACGGGAGAAAAAGAGGCAGGGAACGGAACCCCTCAGGAGCAGCTCTGTGCCTAACAATGGACCATCGGCCTCTCCACCCATTGATCTTCCAGTCTCTGCACTGCTTCTCCATCTGGGCCCTCTGCCAGCAGCCTCTCGGTGCCCAGCCATTCATTCTTCCTTCTGATTTTTCCCAGGGTGCACCAAGGTTTACACCAAGAGTTCACACCTGAAGGCGCACCAGAGGACTCACACTGGTAAGTTGACATGGCAAGAGGCAGATCTTTTCTCAAAATGCAAACCATCTTTCTGAGTCCTCAGATAGAGAATATTTGTTTGGCGGGCAGGGGGGGTGGTTCCGTTTCCCAAGAGCTGCTGCTGTTCTGAAAACAGACACGGACTGGAGCCTTGGAAACACCTGCTGCAAAGGGCAGAGCTGGGCACTGGGCAGCATGGAGGGTGGGCTGGACTCTCACACGGTCTCTGATGTCTGGGAGGGCTGCAGCAAACAGGAGCTGTCCAGGGGCATGTTGTGGCCCCTGGAAGGGAGACGTCCTTCTCTTCCATCCCTTCCTGCTTTGCCAGGAAGGACAAAGCAAGAGCACCCAGCCCCTTCCCTTCCCGCCCTGGAGTTTGAGCCCTATTTTGGGGCTGAAGGGTGAGAACGGAAGGCTTCCACTCTGACTGCAAACAGAGGGCGCAATTCCAAAGGGCCATGCAATTCCAGGGACTGCCCCTCCGGGCTCAGTCTGCAGCCTAAACTTGGTCAAGTGGCTGAAGGTCCCTCAAGAGAATCAAGAGAATCGGCACAGGAGAGGAGCGGGGAGGGGGGGAGCTCCTGCATGCAGTCGGAAGGCCTGGTGGCTTCTCTGGAGGAGGAGCTCAGCCACCCTCCGGAAGGGCTGTCACAATTTGCCATGGAGGAAGTGGAAGGTCCTAAGAGAGCTGCAGGAGACTCTGCACTTCTGACAGAGGCAGGCTGGAGCCCCTGCAAGATGGTGACCTTAGGGCAGTGCAGAAGACCTTTGGGGGGGGCTAAGGAATCCCTCACCACCCTCAACCACAAGGAGGGTCTTCTTTTTTGCTCCATCAGGCTTGGGAATGACATCCACCCTCAGCCCCCCCCCCTCCGAGCCACTTTTCCAGGGCCCATTGTTTGCAGCTGCCCTGACAGGCTGCCCTGGTAAGGAGCTGCTGTGGGGACAATTGCGAACATTCGGTTTCAATCCCGGAAACTCGCTCGGGTATTGTTTGAAGCAGAGTGTGACCTTCCAGGGACAATGGTTTTGACTCACAAAGCCTGGAAAACAGCCTGCCAATGTGGTTGGCACAAACTGGCACAGGGAGGCTGTAACACTCCCTGGAGGTTTCTCCTTTGGCTCCACCTGGGCTAAATTCTGCTCAGGCCTCAGCTGGTTCAGGAGCAAAAGGGCAACACCTGCCTGCCAAGATGCAGGCATGGTCTTCAAGGCACATACTAAGGAGCCACGCAGAACATCCATGATGTTGCCACACACGGCGGTGAAGGCCTTCAGCTGGGACTTGGGTGTTCCAGGGCATCACTAATCCCCTTCCATGGCTGCTCTGGGAAAGAGGGTGGGCTGGAGGGAGACCTTTGGGGAGCCCCTTTGAGCGGGGGAATGGAACACAGCAAAATGGCATCTCTCGTATCGAGTGCTCCATTGCCTCCAACCCATGTCCCCCACACCAGCATATTCTGGGTGATGAACAGGAAGAGATCCGGCTTTCCCTCTGAAGACACACAAGAAATGTGGGGCAATTTGCAACTGGGTGTAAACAGCAGCTGCTGCCTTATTTGGAAGGCCGCCTTCCACCCCAAGATTCAAAAAAACCCTCACCCAAAGGGAGTCGCTCGCACTGGGTTGGCTGCCAAATGCGCCCTGTTGCCTGTGACAAGAGAGCCACACGCCGTCTTCTCTCGGCTGGATTGGGCCGTGGGAGTTGTGCGCATCCGGTGGGTTCAGCAGCCCCACTCCTGTCACCAAGGGGGCACCCGGGGGGCTCTCCTGGCCAGCCTTAGAACCCCCATTTTAGAACTGGGTTAGCTTTTACACAGGGCAAGCCAATTTCAGCCCTTCTTCCTTTGCCAATTCCTGGCTTCTTTTCTAGCCACTCCTGGCTCTTCTGCCAGCAACTTCCTGGCTCTTCCCGTTCCACCCCTCGCCATCTCCTCCCCTCCCTGCAACTGCTCACCAGCCGTCTTGGAGCTGTGGGGGGGGGTGTCAGTGGACACAGCACCCCCCCAGACCCCCCCCAGGGGAAGCAGGGTGGGCAGCTGTCAAGCCTTCCTTGTGTGTGACAGGCTCCTGTTTTCTTTCATCCCAGGTGAGAAGCCCTACCGGTGCAGCTGGGACGGCTGCGACTGGCGCTTTGCCCGCTCGGATGAGCTCACCCGACACTACCGCAAGCACACCGGAGCCAAGCCCTTCAAGTGCCTGGCCTGTGGCCGCTGCTTCTCCCGCTCGGACCACCTGGCCCTGCACATGAAGCGGCACCAGAACTAGGCCTGAGGCACAGCCTCCTTCCAGCAGAGCCGCCTGTGGCCCTCTCTCCCGCCCCGGCTGCACGGCGGTCACGGCCAGGCGCGGGGCCACCACCTCTGCCTTTGACACCTGGTGATGCCCAGGAAGGAAGGCTGGGCTCGCAACAGGACATCCCTATTTATTTCTGCCTCCATAAAAGCAGCCTGTTGAGCCCTGACCGTTGGAAGGTGTGGGACCTATGGAACGTCAGAAGGATGTTGGCTGTTGAGCCACTCTCAGCTCTTGCAAGACACATGGAATATCGCTGGCCTTGGCTTGCTTGAAGGATCAAAGCAGCACAAATTAAATTGTGGCTTAAATTGCTGTTTCTGCAGCTGAGAGGGGAAAAAATCCCAATGTTTTGCACCTACAGCTTCCTTATCAACAGAAAGAATTGGAAGTGAACTTCATTATTTTGCCAAAACCTCTTAAATGTCCATCCACAACCTTCTGGCCTGCCTCGGAGTTGAATCGCTTCTTCCCACTTCGAGGAAGGTGATCTCCTTGGGGGGGGTCCTCAGCCTCGCAACCTGCCCTGAGCACCCACCCTCTGCGTCCAGGGAAGGAAAATGGCTGCCATCAAATGTTCCTCTTTTTCTCTTTTCCCTCCCTTTTGCTGCACCAGGTTCACGGACCTTTCAGGCAGCAGTGGGAACAGTTCCCAGCCAGGCAGGCTCCTTTTCCAGAGAGAGGGGGGGGCTTCCCCTACCTCACTTTCACTCAGGACAGCAGGAACAAAGTAGAGAACAAATTCTCCCAGGAATCTCTGGATCCCCCCCCCTCTCAAGGCCTTCGCTTCTGGAAGCCGGACATCTTGGTGTGCCTGGACCCCCTGTGGAGGAAGCCGAGGAAGCCATCCTTTCCTTCTTTGCTCTGTCTTTGATCCTGCTTATAAGGGGCATTAAAGGCTGGCCTGATTCCAAGGTCGGCACCTCCCTCTTGACCTCGGTTTTGCCCACCGGGGCACTTGGCCTTTCACGGTCGCATCCACACACCCCGCCAGCCTTGGGGAACTCCAGCCTGGAGCCTCTTGCCAACTCTGGCACAGCCAAGAGCTTTTTTTGGCGGCAAGAGGCCCTGCGTGGCAGCTGGCACATGCGTGGCCAGCTCAGTGCCAAATCCTTTTCTGCAAGAGACTGCTGAAGCAGGGCAGCCCCGGTCCTGGGGCTCCTCAATGTTGCTTGCACGTTTGAGTGCATACCTGTCCCTAGAGCCAGAGCCTGGCAAGGTCCCCCGGATTCACCGTCTGGCGCCCACCCCAGCTGCTTCTCTGGTGGCATCAAGCAAAAAGCAGCAGGAGTCTTGTTTTCCATTCCAGTCAGGGATCCTTGCAGTTTACAGGGAGCAGGGAAAGAGTGTTCCTTTTCCCAGAACAGGATTGCCTCAAAAGGGCTTCATTTGACTAGATTGTGTCTCTCCACCTGGATGTTTCGTTGGTTTCAGTGAAGTGAGCACATGCTAAATGTGTAGCTAAAATCAATGGGATTTCAAAAGCTTCGTTTTGGATCATAACTGTGGCTGCTTGGTTAATTGGTAGGCATCCTGCAAAATTGAGTCTTAGAAGAAATTGGATTTTTCAACTTTTTAACAAGTTCCAAGTTTGTGCAAACATTTGCCTTAATTCTTAGCACTTTTTTCAATCACCTTCTCTAAAAGAGCCGCTGAACCTCATTTCCTCTCCTTAATCACACAGAACTTTTGAGGATGCAGATCAAACCTTTTTGAGGCATATTGATTAGCCATCTGTAAGTGGAATTTGGGAGGCATCTTGAACCAACAGGCTGGACCAGTTGCTGCTTTGAAAACACCCCTTTTTGCTTTGCTACTCAAATATTTCTTCAAAGCACTTCCCGCACTGAGCCATTTCCAGTTAACTTTTCGAGTTCCCAAACATGCAACCCCCCCTCCCCATCTGCGCTTTGGGTTCAGCTGACCAAGCAGGGCCTGGATTAGCCTTGCTGCCCAACCTCTCCCGGCAATCACACACCCACTTCCACCAGGCCAGCTGTCCATGCTGGGGAGCTCCCAGCAGCCCCCCCCCCAGGCAAGAAGGGTCTTCAAGGGTGACCAGAGCTGCTTCTGGCCTGGCAGGAGGGCAGCGGCTCCAGGGAGCAGGCGGGGCTGGGATGTTGGCAGGGGAGGGGAGGAAACAGCTGGAAGCAGCTGGCCCAGAAAAGCCTCCTATGGCTTTGCTTACCAACTGCCCCCCCAGGTGGGGTATCTATGTATAGGAAAGATAATTGTACAGATTTTTGTATATGCAACCTAAAAGGATGATATTGCTTTTTTTACATATGTAAATTGAATCTGAGCATGTGAACTCTGGCAGATGGAAAAGGGCTGTTGTCACCATAACACATTTTTGCAAAACACCCTGTGGTGACGATGGGGCAACCCTCAGGCTCCCAAACCCAGATCCCCCTTCTGACCCACTTGCCCCAGACCCACGCCTCCTCTCCTCCTGCTGGGGATTCCTTCTCCCATGTTCCCTCCACACCTGGGCAGATGAGCCTAAAAATGACTTGCCGCCTCCTCTTTTGTTTCAAGAATAAATAAAGAGAAAGCATGAAGTGGCCCATCTGGCTTCCTTGGCTCTGCGGGAATTACGCCCCCTCCCCTTTCCCCCAGGTGCTCCTGCCATAAAGGGGTGAGCCTCGGCTCGGCTGGGCTCAAACTGTCCTTGAGCAGCTGGTGTTGCTTGTCAGTTGTTGTCAACGAAGGCCTCGGCGCCACTGGTCGTGTTAAAACTAAATGTGGGGAGTCCAAAGCTGACGGGTCAGGCCAGCCCAGGCATGGGATGGTCTGGCACACATGTACGGATAGCGCAGTTGTTGCACTGATGGCTCTAAACTTCTGCAGCGCACATGCGCTTCTGCAGTGTGCCTAATTTTGTGAACTCAACAGCCCTTGTGGATGAGGCCATGCCAGGTATTTTGTGCTAGCGTCTCCCAGTGGCCATGCCTACGTCAAGAGACTTCAGAGAGGCTTTTAAAGTATCTTTGAACGTTTCTTCTGCCCTCCAGGTGAGCGTTTTCCAGCAGGGAATTCCTGTTCCTGAGGTAACCTGGTCTCCTCAGCCCGAATGGAGGGATGGCAGACTCGCTCTAGAGAGAACTCTGCTGTCCAGTAATTTATCCGGCCATTGGATGCCTGATACTCTGCAAGGACAAGTCCAGTAAAAAAGGTTGAGCCTCCTTGTGCGTCTTCAATGCACAGTCCATGTTTCACAGGCCTGCAGAAGTGTACTGAGTCTCAGGGCTCTGTGGACCTTCAATTTCGTTGCTGGACTGATTCCTCAACATTCCTGCCCAGTGCAGCGCAGCTGACGGAAAGCAGAATTCTTCTGCACTTGACTTCAGTCTCAGTGGCCCCTGCTTGGGACAGGCTGCTGCTGGGGGGGGGAGGGGGTTGAATGGCTCTGCTGTCTGAAGTTTCTGCCCTTTGATCGTGCTTTGCAGTTCAGCGTGTGGTACATGAGGAACAGGCTGGAGCATCACCTCGGTCCTTTGAGCATAGATGGCGAGTCCAAAGTTGTCAAAAGCCGAAGAGAATTTTGCCATGCTGACTTGCATCTCTGGCTCTGAGCCACCCACCATTCAGGGCTGGGATGCATTTTCTTTGGACTCCCCACATTTAGTTTTAACTAAAACATTTAAGATGACCAATTTCCATCTTTGGTCAAGAGTAAGGGAGCACCCCCAATGGGGGGTGGGGGATGAGCTTATCTGGCAGCAGCGCATTTTCTGCGTCATTTGTATCTTAGTGTAGTTCAAAGGCTGTTTTTCCCACCACAAAAATATTGTGGGGCAAGTTGAGCAAAGGGAGAGCAACTGGCCCTAAGTTCAGCCCTGCACCCCCAGTGCTGAGAGTGGATCGAAACCTCGGAGCCCCCGGCCTTCTTCGCAGGGCTGCACTTTATGCCAGGCATTTCAGGCAACAGTCTGCACAGTTATAATAATACTGATCTCACTACTGCTTCTTTGCCGTTTTAACTACAGTCTGCCTGGGATCAAAGGGAACAGCAGATCAAAGTCTTCACCAACCAGGCATTCTCACCACCCACAATATTGCAAGGGGTTCAAAAATCAAGCGGGCTCACCGCCCCATCCAAACCTTGCACTGTAATCCAGAGCTTGTCAAATGCCCGTCCAAGGCAGGAGGCGGCAGTAGAACATCTCAAAACCCAAATATTGTTTATTAAAGCTGGCAGCTTGTCATACGGGAGGGACGGAGCAAAATGGTTCTCTCGCAAACTCCAGCTTCTCTTCTGGGAGGCGGGGGGGGGATCACCAGGCGCAGGGAGCCAGCTCCACCAGGCTTGTGGGAACTGAGACCCCCACGAGGGGGGCACAACTCATAAGGCACCTTCAGCCAACATGAGAAGCCAACAAGCCTACAGCGCCCTCTGCTGGTAGAAAAGGGACACCACCATGCACCAACAAAGCAAGCGGGGCGCCTCCCCTGCCTGGCCCTGAAGGGAGGCCCAGATTTCCAGCCCTGGGAAGCCCAGGGTACCCGATGAGGCCTGAGGAAATTGGGGGCTTCCTCTGGACAGCGAGATGAGGCCCCCTTTGTGATCAGCTGACTAGAGCGTGGCCAGAACCGGCAACTGGGCAGGCTGGCTCCACAGGCTGAGGAGCCCAGGGCTCTCCTTTTCCGGCGAAGCAGCAGCAGGAAGGCCATCCCGACACGCAAGGAGGACCGGAGGCAGCAGTCAGAGGAGACAGACCCACCTAGGACCAGGCCCTGCTGTGCCACGGAGAAGAAGGACAAGCCAGGTTGCCCAGAAGTACAGCTGACCGGGTGTGTGGGAGGTCCAGCTGCAGGGAGGCAGCTGTGGGAGGGGGAGAACCAGAGTTGGAAGCAGCTCCCTGTCCCGGCCGCAATTCAACGTGACAGCAGCTGGTCAATGTGCGCGCCCCCCCATGGCAGCGCTCACCCTTTGCACAGGGAATCCCCAGCCCCAAAGGCCAGCAGGTGCAGGAATGCAACATTGGGCTGCGTCCTCCCATTGCTCCTCCCCCCCTTCTGACTCCAAAGTGAGCATCAGCACCCAACAGGTGGAAAAGCTCCTCTTCTTCCTCCCCAAAACTTGTTCCACTTCTTGAAGAGCCACCAGTTCAGTTCACACCTGGGAAGGCCAACAAATAACAGCAGCCTCACTCACATACACACATACACACACCTGCACAGGGACGCAATTTGGAAGGACATCCCCAGATCTGACCAGTGACAGAAAGGAAAGCAAGTTCTCAAAATCTCAGCAGGGAGACCACCTCAGCCCACTCCCCCACAGCGCCCCCTGTTGAACTATATACAGAAATGCATCCAGTTGCAGGTAGCAGGTTCAAAATTTATCTGCCCTTCCTGACTTTGTGGCAGAATTACCGGTAGGAATCACCACCACCCTCATTTGAGGGGATGTCACAGTTCTGCATTCCCCCTCTGCCCCTTCCCCACCAAGCCAGGTTCTCTTCTGAGTAGGGCTCTGGGTGGACAGGAGGGGCTCAGCTCTGCCATGCTTTGATCAGAGTGGCGCCCCTCCCTTTCCCCTTCCGCAAATGCAATAAAGTTTTAAAATTCAAAAAAAGTTGATCTTGGATTCAAAGTGTCTCTTGAGAGGATAGCTGCAGTCCTGAGCGCGAAGGGGGCGATGCAAAGGGATGGCTGTGCGCAATCCATCCACCCCTCCTGGTCCGTCCAGAAGCAAATTAGTCCCGCCTGGGGGGTCTTGGGGGGAGAGGATTCCAAACCAGAATTCAGACACAGACTTTGTTTCAGTGCTCATAAAAGTGTAGTTAAAAGCAATCAACCCCAAGCCCACCCCCCTGTCCAGCACACAGGTTACTTCCTGGTATTATGGGATTTCTGTTCTTGTGCTGTGAGCAAGAAGTGTAGGCCGAGACCTGGGAACCACCTGGCCACGTAGAGAAGGTCCCCGTGCTTGGGCATGGCACACACTCCCCCAAGGAACCCCCATTTGGCAGTTTCCTGGCCTGAGTCCAACTGCAGGAGCCCCTCTGCACGACGACCCGTCTCTTCCAGCAACCCACCAGTGTCCCTTGCTTGGCTCCAGAGCTCTGGATTCTCCCAAGACCCTGAAGCCGCCCAGCCACGGAGACCGAAGACCAATCTTTGGGGGGGCGCAGACGGCACTAAGGCTCTTTCTGTGCAAACCGCTGGGTTGGTAGCTCCTGCCTGGTTGCCGAGGCCCCGCTCACCAAGGGGAGCTGCTTCAGGGGCTGATGGGATGCAGGCCTGCTCACATCATGATGTGCCTCCGGCGGTGCAGAGCCAGATGGTCGGAGCGTGAGAAGCTGCGGTCGCAGTCCGAGCAGCGGAAGGGCTTGATGCCCGTGTGCTTGCGGAAATGCCTGGTCAGCTCATCAGAGCGAGCAAACTTCCAGGTGCAGCCCTCCCAGGTGCACCTGTAGGGTTTCTCTCCTGCAGGGAGAAAAGGGAGGGACGGGCGTGGGACAACTCACCCAATTTGTGCTGGGTGCATTTTGGTCCCTGCAGCACAACTGATGAGGGGGCAGAGAGAGATGGACATCAACCTTGGACAGACTCAGCTGCGTAGAGGCTCCCTTGGGCCACTCTCTCCCCCCCGGCCCCCAGGCCCAGGCCCAGGCCCAGGCCCAGCCTTCCGAGAGGACCCACGGCAGTAGCCAGAGGGTCATTGTGCTTTTCTGATGTGGGGAAAGTCAGAGAAAGGGAAGGTGCTCCTTCGTGCCTCTGATGTGGATCCGGCAGGCAGACAGCCCCCTCCCACACCTGGGCAGAAGGACAGAACCCCCTTCACTGGAAATACTGAAGACCAAATCTGGCCTCTTTGCAAATAACGGTGGGATAAAAATAAAGCAGCAGCAGCCAGCTGGCCGGCTGATTGCCTGGTGCTGATGCAGCAAAGAGCTTGGATGCTCCGTCTCTGCCTCCTTCTCCTCAACTCCCCCCCCCCTTTGGCAGCCTGGGCCATGGCGGGAGAAGAAAGAGTAGGCTGCCTTTTCAAGATCCTCCTCTTTTCCTCCTTCAGAATGAAGCCCTTGTGTGCGGGGCAAATGTGTGCTTGCCCCTGGCGGTTGCCCACCACCTGTGCGATGCAAGAGGGAGGCAGCTGGTCTGTGCCATGGGCAGGAGGGAAGACACAGGCCCGGGCGGAACCTTCTTGAGCCCAGAGGCCATGGGTTTGGGTGCCAGCCCAGCCGGCCTCGCATTCCAGGGACGACAGAGGGATGCAGAGAGCTGGCAAAGGATGTGCTTTGGGAGAGAGCAGGTGGGATTGTGCGGGGAGGGGGTTGCTAGGAGACTTGGCTAAAAGGATTCCAGCCTGAAAGATGGAACAGGTTGCTAGGAAACGTATGTGGGAGGATCCAGGGACCGAATCCGTTGCTAGGATGCCTTGTGGGCAAGGGGAAGAACTAGCAGTCTCAGGCCCACGGGAGCAGAGCAGGCTGAAGACGGGCTCAGAAAAGCCACCTTCAATTTTAGCAGGAGGGGGAGGGGCTTGGGGTGGGCATCCACAGGGAGCCACCTGGTCGAGGGAGCCACCCGGTGGGGCCAAAAGGGGCAGTATGCTTTGGGCAAAGGATGGCTCTTAATGGCTGCTTAATCCCACCTCCCGCGGGGGGGGGGATTTGTCTCTGGCATGTAATAGGCATTAAGGAATCCAGGGGTGATCCTGAGAAGAGTGTGGCTGCAGGGCAGTGCCCCTGTCCCCCCGAGCACCCACCAGTGTGTATCCTCCGGTGTGCTTTCAAGTGGGAGCTCTTGGTGTAAACTTTGTTGCACCCCTCGAAGTCGCATTGGTGGGTCCGCCTCTTCTTCAGGTCAGGCGACTCCGTCCGGGGCGGTCTGCCCCCCAACAGCCTGGCAAAGACATTTGGAGAACCACAGCCAGTGTTCAGAGGGCGCTCCGGGAGTGCCTGCCAGAACGGCATCCCCAACAGGATTGGGCCATTCGTGGGAGGAGCCCCCCCCTTCTGACTGGGCCATGACTCACTCTTTCTGTGGGCCGGGAAAGGAGGCCGGCCCGCTCTCCGAGGCGCTGTCCTCACTGTCGCTCTGGATCTCCATGGGGCACATGGAACTGGGGTCGACTTTCACTGCCGGAGGAACAGAGAGCCTGTCAGAGGTCAGGCTGGCAGCTGCTCAAGAAACTGAAGACCGGCCTGTTGGAGCCACAGCAGGCCCCCTTGCCAACGTCAGGGCAGAGGGCTCCTATTACAACCCCCCCACACTCACCTCCTCCACTCCACCCCCTCGAAAGTTCTGCCATGAAGACACAGTGTGACAACCTTGTCCTTGGTGCAGAGGGGGGCACGCCTATTTATCTCACAGGGCATTTTTCTCCCCGCCACTGCCAAGCAAGGCAGGGCATATTCAGGGAGGTCTGCAAGCTGCATCAACTCAAGCCCAGCATTCCTCTTCTGCTCAGCCCCCCCCCCAAGGAAAGGTGACTCATTCCTGGACTGCACGGCCTCAGAAGCCCACATCCAGAGGAGACCTCCAGCCTCGCAGCCCCCCCTCTTTCCAACATGATCAGGGAGGGAGGGAGGGAGAGGAGAGAACCCTTCTGGTGGTCCAGAGAAACTGCCCTCCAGCTTGGATGGGTCACACCCAGGGGGCCAGAACAGGGAGGCTCCCATTGCAGGAAGCAGGAGGGAGGCCGATGCCCACCCTTCCCAGTCCCGGGGTAAGTGGCAAGATGGCAGGCAGAGCTCACCAGATCCAGCGTTCTTGCCGTCTCCCCCGATCAGGGGCACCGTGATGGCAGCGGTGACGCCGTCGCTGGGCATGGTAGTGTAGACCACAGGCAGGGACTGCACCACCACTGGGATGGTCTGGAGGTTGCCCATCTTGCTGGGCAGGTTGACCGAAGGGATGGTATGGATGACGTGCAGAATCTGCTGCCCGCCACTGCCCTGCGTGGACGCCAGGATGGAGCCGGGGGAGAGCACGGCGGGGATGGCCGAGGAGCCCAGCCCAGCAGGGGACATGGACACCACGGGGGCCGGCGGTGCAGCTGGCAGGGGCGCTGAGCGGATGGTGGGAGGCTGCAGGGAGCCTTTGGGCTTATGCAGAGACAGGTCCACCGGCTCGGCCTGAGGCTGGTTGCAGTCGGTCGCCAGCAGCTCTTCGGGGGGCTCCGTCTTGATGTCGCTCAGCAGCACCGGGGGCTCGAGGGAGCTCTCCCCCAGCAGCGAGGAGGAACTCATCCTGGGCTGGGCCTTGCCCTGGGCCGGCCCTGCCAACTGCAAAGGCGAAAGGAAAGGAGCGTAAGAGGCCCCCAGCCCAGAAGCGGATCTCCACTGGGCTCCAGGCGTCCTGGGAACAGCCTCTCCCCACATGCAGGAAACCGCTTCAGCATCCAGGTTGCCCATACAAACCTCCAGCCCCTGGGACCACACAGAACCCTGATGGCTTCTGCCCCCAAGGGACTTGGGAAGGGGGAACCCCCAAAATTTGGCTGATCCAAAGGCAGGAGGGAGAGGACCAAGCAAGCTGGAGGAACTGGAGGGGTTAATGCAAAGCCGGGCTGAGGAGGCCCCCCAGTACTTGGAGGGAGGCAAATCTCCCAGCCCCGAAAGCAGCAAGGTGGGGAGGGGTTGCAGGCAGTCCAGCTGCGGATTGGCGGTGGATCAGGGCTGGCCCAGGGGGGTGGAGAAGGACTGTGGTCCAGCTGTCCAGAGGGGCGAGTGTGAAGGGCAGGGGGCAAGGAGCTGCATGGCTGCTTTCCGGGGGCTTTGGATGCAAAGCTCCAACTGGAGCGGCCTCCCTTTGGTGCTGTGAGACCTGTCCAGGACTGGTCAAACCAGCAAGTCCCACACAAGCCCCTGCTCTGGCAGGGCGAGGCAGGTGTCCTTCCCCAAACCTTCTGGATGGGCCCAGGCTGGTGGTTGGTCCTCCAGCCTTTCAGGAACCGGGACAAGCAGCCTCCCCCCTCCCCTCCCCTCCCTTCCCTGCTTTGCTGTGAGCAGAGGATAAGCAGGCTGCACAGCTTTTCTGGGGGAGCAGCCCTCTCCCCGCCCCTCCTGCAGCACTGGCTCAGGTATTGCCAGCCCTCCCCTTGAGCATGGCAATCCCCAGAGAGAGGGGCACAGAAGGGACTTCCATTGCCCCCCTTCTGTCCTGCTCCTTGGAGCAAAGGCTGTTGGAGGCCCCTCTGAGAAGGCTGCAGTGCTGCTAAACCCAGCTGGGCCCTTAGATGAGATTAAGCCATTTGTGTGGAGGTTTTGGTTCCCCTCTTGACTTTCAGAAGTGGCCGCCATGATGGCCAGGTGCCCAGCTGCAGAGGGTTGCATCTGCCAGAGCTGCGTCACTGCAACCTCCGTGAGGGTCTCTCAGAGACAGCCATGGGGCAGAGAACCCCACTCTGCTTCCCCCGGATTGGGAGCAGCTGCAGGGGGCGCTGCTGCACTCTGGGGCTGCCTCTCCACCTCGGGCATCAACGGGTTAATTCTGATTTTCAAGCCTGGCCCACAAGCGTCCCGTTACACCAGATGCCCTCTGGCTGAGGAGGAGTGACCGCCCAGCCTGCTTCTATTTGCAGTTTAAGGCTGCGGGCGGGGAGAGGGGGGCAGGTGCCATCGCAGAGAATTTTTTTACCAGAGAAAGCTCAGCCTTTTACGTAATGATCCATATATATTTTCTGTCCATAAAACAAAAAGGGTATATTAAAAAGGGTCTTGCTTTTCCACCAGACTCGATGCAAGAAACCCCACAGGATGCAGATTCTTTGCAACCACCCGAGTCAGGGGCTGCTCCCTTGCCAGACCCTCCCCCTGCACTTCTGCCAAGCATCCCCCAGCACCTGCTGTTCTGCCACTCCCTCCCCCTGCTGCTTTAATCCACAGCCTACCCACCCACTGCCCCTCCCTCCCCTCGGCCATCAGCTCCTCCTCGCTCAGCACACACACCCTGCCTGGAAACCCTTCAGACGAGTCGGTTGCCAACACTACAGAACCAGGTTGGATCCTGGACTCCCTTGGCCCCAGAAACAGGCAGAGAAGCAGAGTTACAGCCTCCCGTTTGCTAGTTTCTCCTGCAGAGCATCTGTACCCCAGCAGGAGCCTTTAAAGGAGCCCTGACGCGCATGGACCCCCCCCATGCAGTGCTCCCCAGGGCCAATGGGGATTGCAGGAGCAGAGAGGCAAGGAGTGCAGAGCGCCCTGGTTCTCCTCCTCCTCCTCCTCCTCCTCCTCCTCCACACCTAAGGCCTGCAGAGGGCTTGCTTAGCCCCAGTTTGAGAGCAGGACAAGGCCACAGCTTCTCATAGGAGCCCCCATGGCTGTTTGGCTTCAGCCCCACCTCCATTATAGAGGACCCCTTCCTTCTCTGGGAGGGTCAGTCTGGATGGCCTGGAGAAAGAGAGCCCAGAGAGGCAGCTCCACTCTCCAGCCCACCCTGCTGGGCAGCAATCTGAACCACAGGATCTCTGTCGCAAATGCCAGGGAAGTGAGAGTAGGAGCTGCTGGCTGGGTGGGTGGGGGGGGGCAGAGTGAAGGGCAGCACTCTTCCTTATGCTCAGGGAGGGGTAGGTTTGGGAAAGTAAAGCTGAACCCCTCCCCCCAAGTTCCAGAGGCCCCCACCAGCCTCTCCCCACTAGCCAACAGGGGTCAGTGAGGAAATCACTGGGCGGGGGGGGGGCGATGTCGCCCCAGCAGTGTCTTTCATGCCAGTCCGAGGAAGAGCTCAGCCCAGAGCGGGAGGGGAAGGGGCGGAAGGGAGGGGATCCAGCACTCGGCAGGACCTTTTGAGGAGCAGCCAAGAAGTCACAAAGGAGGGGGGGTGGGGGTGAGAAAGCTGCTCTCCTCTGCACAACCCATGAGCTTCCATCTTCCAGCAGGGTGGGGGCATTATTGCTCCTGAGCCAGGATGGGAGGAGTTGAGACACCCTCCCCCCAACAGCAGCCCTTCCCCACCGTTACCCATAGCAGCAGCAGCAGCACAGAGGCTCTGCTTCCACAGGGCAAGACTAAAAGTGGGTTTGAGTGTGGAGGGACTCCCTCCAGCGTCCTGTGCCCTGAACAACCACTGCTCGGCTGACTCTCCTCTGGTCAACTCTTGGGAAGGCTTCCCCGAAGGGCCTGCAGCTCTTCCGCAGGTGGCCTCTGCCCTTTACTCCTTTATGGAGGGGACAGGAAGGAGCCAACCTGGCCAGATGTTTAGTCTTGAACCGGCATCTGCCACCAAAGGGCACTTGGGGGGTGCTAAACCGAGAGAGCTTGGATCCCTCCTGCCTCTCTTCAGTTCAGAGCCGATCGGAGAGCCCGGGAGGGGGAGAGCGCAGGCGAACGGCTCACTGCCTCAAGGAAAAGCCCACCCCTCAACCAGACACCCTCCCCGTCCCAGGAGGGCCGCGACCCACGGAGGTCCCGCCAGCTGTCACCGATGCTCCCTGTCAACAGATCAGCTCCGAAAATGCGGGGAGGCCGAGAGGGGCTGGGCCCTGAAACCGAGGGGCAGCCTGGCAGCTAATCAAACGGATGCCTCCGGCCTGCAACTGGGCCACGAGGGGGGGAGGACTGCCGAGCTCCTTTGCGCCCCCTCCCCACCCCTCCTGGCCTCCAGAGAAGCCCCACCCGGTGCCCGCATTGGGCCCCATCGCCCCTGCCAGCCTGACCGCTCCGGCGGGGCCCGAGCGGGCGGCGTCCCATTCGCCCAGGTGGGCCAAGCGCTGCCCTCCCCCCCCTCGGCCTCGCCACCTGCCTCCCGAGCGCGCCGCTTCCTGCCGCCGGACGCCGCCGGGACGGGCGAGGGCGCTCCGCCTCTCCCCGCGGCGCACTCACCAGCCGGGCCCTCCGCGCGGCGCTCGACCTCTCCGCGGGCAGGATCATCCCGAGCCGGCAAGCGGCGGGCTGGCTGACCGGCTACGCGACGGGTTTCGGCGGTCCGGTGGCGGCGGCGGCGGCGGCTCCCCCTCCTCCTCCTCGCTCCGCAGCGGGCTGCGCGCTCTGCCTCCGGCGTCTGCCGGATGGGCGGGTGGGTGCGCCCTCATGGCAGCCCCACCCTGGGGAGGGGTCCGGCCAGAGAGGCGGCGGCGGCGGCGGCGACGCTGGCGTTTGGGGAGCTCCGCCCGGCGCTGGCCGCGGCAAGCCCGCCCAGGGTTGCGGAGGGCGACCGGGCTGGTGGGGTAGGTCGGTCCCGTCGGCCGAGCCCCTGCAGGTGGACGGACCCGCCCCGGGTGGGGGAGGGCAGGCGCGCTAAGGGCCGGCCGGGGGTGGGTCCCCACCGGGACCGTGTGCCAAAACTTGCTTCGCAGTCCGCGTTCAGTCGCCAAGTAGGCTAGCGACGAGAACGATCGGCCAAGCCCGCGCGCGGCCCTTTGGCTGCTTTGCCCGTGCACTTCCCGACCGTGTGGATGCTCAGCACCGGCGCCAGGGAAGATCCATCTCGCGCCAAGACCTCAGTGGCCGCTTTACTGGACGGACAGGCGCCCCGCGAGAGAAGCGGGTCCAAGAGGAGCGAGCCCCCCTTGCCCACTTCGCGCTCATTGCGCCGCCCCCAGTTTTGCTCGGCCGGGAGGGACATCGCCCCCCGGGGCCCCCTGCCTGCCCCTCCCCCCTCCATACAGCAAGTGTCACCAGGAGACCTATCGCACAAAAACACCCAGGCCGCCTCTCCCTCCCGGCCCTCCGGTGTGGCGGGGGCGGGGGGGGGGAGGCCTGGAGAAGGGTGCCCGGCCTCCGCTTTGACGTGAGCAAAGGAAAGCCTGAAGGGGCCCTGCCTCGGGGTGGGCTATGGGTCCAGTCTGCAGCTGGTAGTGGCTCTGAAGAGGTTTGTGGACTTTGCTTTCAAGCTGTTAGTCCAGCTAACCCCACCAACACCCTCTTCTTCTCCCGGCAGGAACCCCAGGTGCAGCAGGAAGCAACCTGGGCAGGGGTCTTTGCTCCTGGTGATGCCGGTCATCCTCCCTGCAACTTTGGGGAGCCCACCAGGTCCCTGCAGGGGCTGCAGCAAGAGGCACCGCCCAGCCTTGGCTTCCAGTAGCCCACTTGGCATTGGTAATCTCACCCCCTCCCCTCAAAAAGGCATCCAGTTGGAAGAAAGAGCAGCTGCTAGACCTCAGGTTCTCTTCCACCTGGAGAAAGAGAAGCCCCCAGAGAATGAATCGTAGCCCCCTCCCCCATTATTCCTGCTTTTCAAATGTCTGGAAAAGCTGTGGGCAAGTGCCTGGCAGAGCCAGAGATGAGTTAATCTTTTAACTGGCTGAGGG